TAGTCTCCCATTATTATAACTTCAACTTCCTTGTGTTCAAAAGGCACTGAAGTATTTCACAGGTTCACAAATACTCTTATCTTTAGGTGCAAACCATCCAGACATCTGCATCTCCTCTCCAGTTTTGTTGATCAATTTACATAAAATCCAGTGAGCCATGCTATTGAACATTATGGCAATTTTAATCTGGGGATGCATTTATTATTGGTAAAGGTGTCAGGATACAGTTCTCAATTGATTCTTATTACAATTCTTAAGAACCGAATGTCATTGTAAGTAAATCTTACAATAAACTTTAACAGAGAAAGGAAAACTCAAATTCTGACTGGCTAATTCTAGAATTTAGTAGATTTTGAGAGGCAGACACCAAAATCCAGTTCATCCAATTAAAGGAAAACATGAAAAGGAGAGTGGATTGGAAGTAAGGAATCTCTTATACTTTCTCAGGAAATTGATCTCCACCTTCTTTCCCTTCTAGTTGCTTTCCAATTTCCAACTACCCCTCCTCCCCCAAAAAAGTAAATGGAGGAAGACAGAGATTAATCATGTTCGTTTTTTCTTAAGATTATTCTTGCTAACAGTTTAATAAACAGTTAAGTTGCCAAATGTTCTTTTACTTGAGTGCTCAAAATGTACCATATGTGCTAAGCCAATCATAAAACTTCCTTGGGAGAAAAAACACAATTCTGTATGCAGTGCAAATAGCATTATAAACAAAGAACCTTATAACATCAAAGCAACTAGATTATCCTAAGCTCAGGTAGCTTTTCCATTCTCCCTTAGTCCCTAAATACATATTTGAAAAATGATACTTATAAAAAAAATTAAATATTAAACATCAGGATTTGCCTCTTATATCTGGTGGCAGTCTACAGGAGGGAAGGACACATTTTAAAATAAAATTTCATTGTATAACTAAAGTAGTGAATGTGATAAATTGTTCTAAACATGTCCAGAAAGACAGAATGAAGGGTTTTGAAAAGTTTCTGTATTCTAAAATGAGAACATGACATTATATGTTGCTATATGTTTGCTATATGATGAGTTTAACAGTTGAATTAATTTTATATAAGTATTTGTACATGTAATATATCTTTTCTTGTTAATTAGTTGGGAGGTCATTACTTTTAACTTTTTAAATGACTATAACATATTTAGGATTTGCTTTTCACTGTTTAATCACTAATGTTTTTTGTTTTTCATTTTAACAAATAATGTAAAACAAAAAAACACAAAGGGCAAAGCTTATAATTGAAGTTAAAATGATTTAATAGAAAAAATGACTAAGTCAATAGTTGATATTATGTAAATGTTTTAGAACGTATCTTCCTTAAGTTGGTATATAAGTGATATAGCAAATGTTATTCCTTCCTGTTTTACAAGATGCCACACTAAACTGTATTTCAAAGCAACAACTTTTCAAATCTATTCTTGGTAATGAAACATTGCTAAGTTTTATTATGGAAGAAATATAATACGCAACACTTTTAAGCTAGGGTTCTACATGTAATTAAAGTGTGATGGTCTAGTAACTTCTGGTTTATACTGTGTGCTGCTCTTATGTTTCCATCCTTTTGGAAAGAGTGAAACTGATAATGAAAATTCTCTAGTTACCACGAATTGCAAAAACTAATGATAAGTGTCACATCTATTGCACATAGAACAACTAATCTATTAATATTAATTTTCTTTTGAGGAGTTGGTCACACTAAATCTTTCAAATGATTGACAGTGGACACCTAAAATAGTCGTTCATTCACTTTACATTATGTGAATATCTTTTGCCAACACCTAGGGAAAGGATGCGATTTTGTGCATGATGCTGTCAGTGAACAGGTAATTTGATGTGTCAGCCATTCACACAGATGCCTATTCATAAGCATCGTGCCTATAACTGAATTGGGACTTCAAAAAAATATTCTTCTAAACCCACAGTTCTTTTTTGTATGATTGTGTTGGGTAAGCCTATTGGCCATATTTTGTAGCTACTGGGCTGACTTTGCAATAACAACTCTTAGGCCCACACATGTAGATAATAACTACTGATCTAGTTTTTAGCTTGATTTCTCAGTTAATTTCTGCCTTTTAAGTACAAAAGGGCTATGTCTGGTTCACCAAACACCGTTATCTCCTGTTCCCTAAGGTTTGAGAAAAATTAAGATTTAGAAATTGCAACTTGAAAGAAAAAAACTGACAAATGTGAATTGTACCATCTTTGGAATTCTTTACTGATATTATTATTATTATTATTGGGAATCAATTAGTGAATGATTAGTCAATTAGAGATGAAGCAGTAGTTGTAATAAAGGCAGCAATGTGAAGAAAGGGCCAGGCTCTGAGCTCATTTCCCAGTAGCTACTTTCTACTGAAGATTAAGAAAATAGGAAGAAATCTTTCCTGATATCAGAATAACAAAATAATAGAATAACAGAGTTGGAAGGGACCTTGGAGGACTTCTAGTCCAATCCCCTGTAACATTTCAGACAAATGGTTGTCCCATCTCTTCTTTAAAAACCCACAACTTCTGGAGGCAAGTTGTTCCACTGATTAATTGTTCAAACTGTCAGGAAATTTCTCCTTAGTTCTAGGTTGCTTTTCTCTTTGGTTAGTTTCCATCCATTGCTTCTTGTCCTGCCTTCAGGTGCTTTGGAGAATGCCTTGATCTCTTTTTTATGGAAGCCCCTTCACCCCTAGTCCTTCTTTTCATTAAACCAGACATACCCAATTCCTGCAACTGTTCTTCGTATGTTTTAGCCTCCAGTCCCCTAATCATCTTTATTGTTCTTTGCACTCTTACTAGAATCTCAACATATTTTTTATATCACAGCTACCAAAACTGGATGCAATATTCCAGGTGTGTTCTTACCAAACTGGTATTAATACTAAACATGATCTTGATTCTATCCCTCTGTTAATGCAGCCTAGGACCGTGTTGGCTTTTTCGGTAGCTGCAACATACTGCTGGCTCATATTTAAGAGGTTGTCAACTAGGACTCTCAAGATCCCTCTTGCAGTTACTACTTTCCACCTTAATAGTGCTGAAGGAAACCTTTAGAGCTGCCACATTTCCAAAAGATACTGGAAGTTGGCATATTTATTAGGCAAATACAGGTAATCCTCGACTTAAAACCACAATTGAGCCAAAAATTTCTGTTCCTTAAGTGAGACAGTTAAGTTAATTTTGCCCCATTTTACAATTTTTCTTGCCATGGTTAAGTGAATCACTGCAGTTGTTAAGATAGTGACATGGTTGTTAAGTGAATCTGGCTCCATTGACTTTGCTTGTCAGAAAATTGCAAAAGGTGGACTTTCAGTTTGCATCATGGCATTGCAGCCGAAGGAAAGCGGGGCTCTGCTTCCCACAGCTGATTTCGCCCTGCCAGGGGGCTCTAAATGGGCCTAAAGTCGCCCTGCAGGAGCGATGGAGGGGACCCTCGTAGATCACAGAAAGACAACGATCAATCTGTTTGATCCAAGGAAAGCCCTCCAAACCGGCAGGGGAAAGGCTAGCTGCACTCCTATGGCTAGCCCAAGCCATTGACAATCGAATAAAGAAAACACCAGAATTATCAGCATTTTAAACAACATGCGTGGTACTACTTTGATATTTGACTCCTGGATAAGACAAACTCCCATAAAGCAAGAAATCCCCAAGCGAGGAAGGAGACTTTTGCTCTCCCTTTCCAGACAAAAAAAAAGCGGGTGAATCCTTTATGGGAAAAAAACAAAGAAGAATATAATACCAAAGTGGAAGTTATACAAGACAGAGCATTGACAAATCACAGAACTGAGAAATTTGTTAAGGGTTTTCTCTTTGGAAAGAATATTGGGGTGAAATTCAAGAAACTTTAAAGCGAAAATAATTGTTTATTTTTAAATGTTGGGAAATGGACATCTGAGGACATCTAGTGGTGACATAGAGGTACAGTATTAAACTTATTGCAGCTAGAGCAGAGGTTCCCAATCTTTTGGGCACCAGGGACCGGTTCCATGGAGAAAGGTTTTTCCACGGACTGGAGCGTGCGTGGTTTTGTGTGCTGCCTGCATCCCACGGATGGGGCTTTGCTTGTTTCTGCAGACCGGTTGCTGGCATGCTGCGGACCAGTACCGGTCCATGGAC